GCTGGAGGTATCACAATCCCTGACTTGAAGTTATACTACAAATCTACTGTAATAAAATCAACATGGTAGTGAAATAAAAACAGAGCCAAATATCAATGCATGAGATTAGAAGATACAACTACAACTACAAAGACACTCAACCACCTTATCTTTGATAAATGGGCCGAACAGGTTCACTGGAAGAATGGAAGTCTCCTTAATAAATGGTGTTGGAAAAGCTGGTTCTCTATATGTTGAAAACTAAAACTAGACCCATGCCTATCACTATGTACTAAACTGAAACCTAAATGGATCAAATATCTGAATTATAAAACAGAAACATTAAATTTATTGGAAGACAAATCGGGTTAAAACCTTGAAGACACAGCAGTAAGCAGAGAATTCTTGAAGAGGACTCAAACCACACGGGAAATACTTCCCAGAATCAATAACTGGGATCACATCTTATTAAAAAGTTTCTGCATGTAAAAATAAATCTCCAGCACAGGGAAAAGTAAACCCACAAACTGGGAAAAAAAATCTTAGTGAACTGTCCCTCAGACAAAGGACTTCTGTCTAAAACATTTAAAGAGTTAAAAAAAATCAGACCCTCAAAATTCAAAACCCAATCCAAAAATGCACATCTGAGATATATACACAGTTCTCAGATGAGGAAATACAAATGGCAAATAAATACATGAAAAAATGTTCATCATCATTAGTCGTTAGAGAAATGCAAATTAAAACCACACTGAGATTTCATCTCACTCCTGAAAGAGTGGCAAGGACCAAGAAAACTACAAATAACAAATGCTAGAGAGGCTGTGGGGAAAAAGGAATGCCCCTGCACTGTTGGTGGGAGTGTAGACTGGTGCAACCATTGTGGAGGTCAGTCTGGATGGTCCTCAAACACCTGGTTTGGGAAGTCCCATTAGATCCAGCTATTCCACTTATATATTCTCAGAAGAACTGAAAACATCATACCACAGTGATAATATGTGCACACATTGTTAAAGCAATACACTTTGTCATAGTCAGATCTTGGAAACAATCTCAGAGTCCATCCAATGAGGAATGGATAAAAAAGTTTGGTATTTTTATGCAATGGAGTACTACTCAGCTATAAAGAATGATCATATTGAGATATTTTTATAAACAAATGGACACAGGTTGAGACCATGCTCATATGAGAAATAAATCAAACTCACATGTATAAATGCTGAATAGTTTCCCTAGTGTAAGAAATAATAAGAATGCATAAAAGTATGTGGTAATCATGATTTTGAATCATATTGGTTTGAAGCCATATAATGTTTTCACTCATTAATTGGAATGGTTTTAATGTGGTTTGTTCGATTTTATTGCCTGTGATAGTCCGAATAGCTATTTTGAAGAAAACAAGACATCATAAAAGCTAGTGCAGATTTAATATCATCCTGTTTTGAAGTCCCATCAAGCTGTTGTTCGTCTGTTTTCATTGGTTTTAACATGTTGTTTCTTATTATATTTTACTGTATGCTATAGTATAAACAAAAATTTTTATAGGCAAAGAGATAATATAGAAAATGTTGTTTGTTTTATGTTAGATGGTTCTAAATACCCTGTAATAATTTCATTCTCTTGAATGGCTTCACACTGTCTTGATAGGTTTGATGCTATAGTATACGAAGTTATACTTAAATAATTCAAGGAAAGACACACTATGGTGACTACTCTTATGTCAGGTTATCTGGTGGTGAAACACAATGATGCTTAAATTGTCCGGTTTTGTACTGGGTTGTTCTGTTATGATGTCCTGTTTTATCTCAATCTTCCTTGTTTTTTTTTTTTTTTGCTTTAAAAAAATTAATTTAAAAAATTTTTTTAATCAAGGGAAAACTAAATGTAAAAAATAGCGGGATATATTACAGTAACTTTTTGTTTTCCTAATAACCTGATTTGAACCCCAGTATTGCTCACCCGATCTTGTTCTGACTGATTTTGTTACATCCTGTTTTGTTTGATAGTATCAAGTTTGAGGGTATAGGCAACCACTTTGAAGGCAATAAGATTTACTGTGATGCCCATTATGGTTTGACTATTATCTTCTCTTGAAGTCCTATAAGGTCTCCAATGTAGGGCTTATTGGTCTTGTTCTGTACCATTGTGTTCAATTCTTTTATGATGATATAGGCAACTCTTTTTAAGATAGCAAGAGGCATAATGGTAACCATCTTTGATCACCTGGTATTTTGTTTTTGCATCATGTACTGTGTTCATCCTTCTGTTCTGACTCTGTTTTGTTTTGTGACACTAGGGTTTTTTTTTTCTCTCCAGAAAATAAAGTTATAAGAACTGTGGGAGTAATAGAACCCAAAAAATGTAATTGTTATTGTAAAAAAGAGAGGAAAAGACAGTGGTCTACAGGATATGACTGCATGTATATTTAAGTGTGAAGGATAGAAAACCATATTACTGAGTTTTTGTTGGAGCATTGAACAGAACTGTCTGAAATCTCACTGTATGAATGTCTACTTTGTATGCTTTAATTTTGTAATTTGGACAACTGTTTCTAAGATGACAATATGTAATCTATTAACGAATGATTTATTACTGTATATATTTTCTTGAGTTCTGTATTACTTGTACCCTTTTACTGCTTTATTTGTTTTTCTCTTTAAATAAAAAAAAATCAGATCCCAAGCTCACACACACACAGAAAAACAAACAAACAAACAAACAAAAATAAGCTTTAACGGTGAAGGGTGACCCAGGTTTTGTGTAGCTTTGGCTAACCATCAAGAGGTAGCTGCCTCTTGGGATTGCTGTCATGGGATTCCTTCCTAAGACTGGTAGGTCTCAGCTTGAGTTTGCAAAAAGTAAAGTGCCATAACTCTGCAGAACAATGGGAAATACCACCATCTCTGAGAATGGCATCAATTAAGGCTTGCTGTTACAAAAACCAGAATTCACTCATTAGTTTAATCAGACAATACTGAAAATATATGGCCTGAGGGTGTGGCTCAGTGTGGAGGAAGAACTTAGAATTTACTTAATGAAAAGGCCAGAGAGACAGAGATAGGAAAACTAAGTGTCACTGCCTACTTTAAGGTACAGGGTCACAGGGGTTTCAGGACCTCCTGCAGAAAGCAGGCAGCTGGATGCAGGGATGAGAGATTCTGTGGTCCATTAGGGTGATGAAATTTGAAGCAACCTATGGGTCCAGTGAGTAGTTAGAAGGAAATCGAAATATGAAAATGCTGATAGGTTGCTTTCTGGACACCATTAATTTTTTTTACTTATGCCATTGTCAGATGATAACATTAAAAAATGATTAGAGTATGTCGGGCGTGGTGGCTCATGCCTGTAATTCCAGCACTCGGGAGGCTGAGACAGGAGGATCGTTGTGAGTTCGACACCAGCCTGGGCTACAAAGTGAGCTCAAGGCCAGCCTGAATTGCACTGTGAGACCCTGGCTCAAAAAGACAAAAAAAAAAAAAAATTATCAGGGTATCCTCAACTTCAGAGCTATAGTGCAAATGTGAGGCATGAGTGGCCCCTGGCTTCCACCCTTTGCCCTGAGCTCTTCTAGGAGTCTCAGATAAATCCAGGTCCCTGGTTCTCCAATAAAAAACAATAAAAGGCTGGCAATATAGATTAGTGTGAAGGCCATGATTTAATCTACAGTACTGGAAAAAGGATACTTTTCTTACTGTTAGTGTGTATAACAAAGGACACAACACAGGAAGAATCCAAATAACCAGATGCATGGGATGGTCCAAAATGACCAGATCCATGCTGTCTCTGGGGTGTAGCTCCCTCCTAAGGCCATCGGTATGTTCACCAACACACAGAAGTGTTCCAACTCTCAATGTGGTGGTTTAATCGAAGCTTCATTACCTAAGCATTTGAATTTGTTTTGTTTTGCATTTTTTGCAGACAGGGTCTCACTATGTAGTTCAGACTGGCCTTGAACTCACTATGTGCACCTTTCCTTGATTGGCCTCAGGGAGCAGAGGGCTGAGCCTGCTCCTTGAAATCCCTGGACCCCTGGATTTTGCTCCCGAATTCCAGCAACAATACCTCAGTGATATAGAGAGGAGCTGGAGGCCATGGAGGGCAAGGAGCAGGAATAAAAGAGTTCCAGAGTTGGGGTCCAAGGAATGACATAGCTGCTGCTGAATGTGTGGTATACTAAAATTATAATAAAATCATGAAATATTCCTGGAGTTAAAAATTCCTCAACTCCCTAGGATAACTCGAGAGACAGAGAGATCTTTGCTTCAACCCAAAGCCTCACCTATTGAGCGCAGAGGAGAGGAGAAGCAGGATGACCTAGCACACTAAGTCCCCTGTACAAGCTGCCCAAGTGACAGTGAGGAGAAGAAGACCACATACAGGTAGAGTCAGCACATCTATTTGAATTAAATGGAGGTTTCTATGGAACCTGGTCCTGGCAGAAGTTATCACATCCAAGCTGACTGTTGGAAAAGGATGAAACACAAGACAGGGAAGGAGCCGCTATCCACCCAAGGTTGTGTGATCTTCCCACTTGCCCTGGCTTCCTGATCTGGTGCCTGAGCCAAGTCTCAGCTATAGTAACACTGCAAGCTTCCTGGATCTCCTTCAAATATGGTTTTCTGACTTGGTCCATCTGGGGTGAACTGCTGCCTTTCCAACCAGTGCTTCTATAGCCCTAGTGTCCTGTCCAAAGAAACTGGCCGTGGAGGAGGCTATAAGCCTTCTAGAAGAATGGCACTTTGATGCCAGACTGGGTAACTCAGTCAAACTCTTTCAAAATACGATGAAGAAGGGAGGAATCCAACATCAACATTAAAAACTGATGTCTTTTCTATACACAAGCTAGGTGACAAATTCCCTTTACAATAGCTTTTTAAAAAATTATAATCCTAGAAATCGGTCTGGTGAAGAAGATAAAAGACATCGACAGTGAAAATTACACAGGTATGAAAGAAATTTAAGAGGACATCAGAAGACTAAAAAACCTCCCAAGTGCATAGATTGACAGAATTAATCCTCACCTTGTGTTCCAGCACTTGCAGTTGTAGTGAGCACCTTGGGACTCTGTCCACAGACCCTCATGCACTCTTCCTTGGTCTCAAAGTTGTTCTGCTTTTCTCTGCAGCCACCATATCCAAAGGCTTCACAGCGTCCAGAGTGGGCATTGTAGTAGTATCTGATCAACAGAATCCTGCAGGGACCCATGAAGGAACGCTCCAGGCAGAAGGCAGGCCGCTGGACTGCAGGGACAGCAGAAAGTCTGCATTGAACTAGGGAAATGGTCATGCAGGGCCATCCCCATGGCAAACAATGAAATCAAACAACGTATCTGGTGAGCAGTGGGCAGGAGTGAGGCATAAATGAAACCACTAAAGGTATCTATAGTTCCATGAACATATTTAAGATTGTCAAACTCAGCAATGTGGGTGACATCCATTTTCCATAATGCAAAAGTGCAAAAACTCCATTTGGTGGCTTGTTTTCTGGACATTACACTAATTTTGTGAAATGTACCATTATATGCTGAAAATGTAAAAAAGTTATACAGACCACTGAAGTATTTATGCATTCAATAATTGGATGATGCCTGAGATTTGATTTTAGGAACTACAAGATATTAAAAAAATGTCCAGTGGTGCAAGACTGTAATCCCAGTACTCTAGAGGCTGAGACAGGAAAATTTTTCAAGTTTGAGACCATCCTGAGCTACACAGTGAGTTCAAGCCCAGATTGAATTACACAGTAAGATCCTGTCTCAAACCAATAATAATGCTTGTTTATTTGTTTATATGTATATAGTATCACTATATGCCTAGTTTGTTTATTTGTTTATATATATGAAATTATACAGGAGGAAGTTTCATATATAAAGTAACCTCGATAATTCAAAAATTGTTGTGTTCGAATAGTGGATACATAAATGCTTAATATCCTACATTCTGTTTTCTTTTTGCATGTTTGCAAGTTGCCATTATTTAAAAAAACATCTGTAGCCAGTCATGATGTCATGGAAGAATACAAGGGAGAAAACATTTTGTCTTTATCTCAATCAGTGGAGTGGCATTCCTGGAACTTGTTATTGGTGGCTGCAGCCTGCTTTCACAAAGCATTATCATAATACAGTTTTGCAGGCTCCATGTAATTTTCTCTACCAGCCATTCTAAACCTGTGGTAATGGACCTGTATAGGTTGCACTTTTATAGCATCCACCTGGAGTTTGACAATAGCTATCAACTTATTCATCATAATCCCAAGAGACAGGATCCAGGCTGTTGGTTCCATCATCTGAAAAACAAAAGCTGCCAAAAAATTCTCTCAGCGGTCATTTTTCATACCTGGAGTCATCTGAAACATTATCCTGTATTTGTTGTATTTGATCTATTTCTTTAAACAATCGTTCTGATAACAGTCTCGCAGATTTCATCTCTTTAGAGTAAATGAATCCCGATCCTCCTCCCCAGATAAGGATTGGGCCTGGACCATGCCATGAGTTAGTCAGGGAGTCTCGCCATAGTAGAGAGGCAAATTGCTTTTGTGTTTCAGTATGTGAAAAACGCATGGTAGCTGACTCTCCAGCAGCATCCAAATTTTAAAAATTAAGGATCAAAGGGCATGAGATAGAATATTTTTATGTGTCCCCCTTGTGGGGTACCATTCCCTTTTTTATTTTATCAATAGTGAGTTTTAGGGAGAGATGTGCCCTTTCAACTATGCCTTGACTTTGAGGGTTATAAGGTATGCCTTTGATATGATGAATATTAAGATGTTGACAGAAAGGAGCAAGGCAGAACTAGCATAGCCTGGACCATTATCAGTCTTTAATTGTTGTGGGCATTCCAAAACTGATAAGGTAGTTAACATACGGCTAATAACATGTTTGGTAGCTTCACCAGTCTGGGGAGAGGCATAAATGAAACCACTAAAGGTATCTATAGTTCCATGAACATATTTAAGATTGTCAAACTCAGCAATGTGGGTGACATCCATTTTCCATAATGCATTGGGGATAAGTCCTCTAGGATTAACCCCAAAGTGTGGAACTAGGATGTGCGTGGCACAAGAGGGGCAATATTTTCCTTTCTGTCTGGCTTGCTCTCTGGTGATCTTGTGCATAAGACGGAGGTTTTGAGCATTTCGATGGTGTAAATGATGACTCTATTGTGCTGAAGTAACATTGTCATTGTAATCACTAGAGTTAACATTAGCTAAAGTACAAAGGAGAGCTTGGGGTGGAGTGTCCAGGTCTGTTGCATGATTACCATTGGCCAGAGGTCCTGGTAACCCATAGTGAGCACGTAGATGTCCAATAAAAATGGGGCAAGTTCTTTTTATAGTAAGCACCTGTATTTGCCTAAACAGTTCTCCAGTGCAGGAGGCACTTTTGATTTGTCCAGCTGTTTCTAGCAGGGCACAAAATGTGCAATATAAGAGCTGTCAGTATGCAAATTCAAGGGCTCATTGGGAAATGCTGAAAGGGCTACAGCAACAGCTTGGAACTCTATGATCTGGGCTGATGTATTGTTTGTTTGGAAGGATACAGTCACTACTTAACATTTGAGCAGTGACAATGGTATTTGGGCTAGCCATAATTAATCCCATTTGTGCCAGTGGATCTCTACCCCAAAGATTTGTTGGTAATCCAGCTATTACATATGGTATATTTAAGGCCTCGTTGATAAGCAGTTTCAATGTCAGCGTTATGAGGGATTGAACTCACAGGCTTACATTTGTCAGGCAGGTGCTTGTGCCACTGAGCTAAATCTCCAGCCCTGGGGACTGAACTCACAACCTTGTGCTTGGCTGGCAGGTGCTCGTGCCATTGAGCTAAATCCCTGGACTTTGCTTAATGCTCATGAGAGAGGAACTCATATCTCCCTTAAATTGCTTTTGGGCCTCTCTGTTGGCATAGGCATCCTCCCCTATTTAACAAATCAAGGTCCCACCCATTGCGGGCTTGCATATTGTGCCTGGCAGTCTCTTTGCAATTTTCTATATATTCTGATTTCCACAAAACATAATCCCCACCCGATAAAGTTCCTTGGGTCAATCCTTGCCAATCTGTAGGTGTGAGCCAGCCGTCAGCCAAAGAACTTAAGACAGCAAGAATATACGTGGCTGTGTCTTTCTACTGTGTAACCACTGTTTTTAATGCTCTATTCAGGTTGAAATTGAAACCAGAGTAGTCTCGAAAAACTCCACCATCTGCATCCATCATTGCTGTCACAGGGAAAGCCTTCATACCATCTGGCTTTGACATTGGATCAGGCCAGGGGGGTAAATTTAGAAATCATGCCTCTCAACAGGGGTAGCTGAGCAGGAGAAATCCCAGAGGAAATTCTGGGGTTAAATTCACTTTTCATTTAAAATTTTGCTATTTTCAGCCTTTCTAATTGAGCTATCAAATCCTGATGTAATTTTTTCAGTTTAATTTGTTGTTTTAAAAGTTCAACTTGGTCCCTAAATTCCTTCCTAATATCAAAAGTTAGATACGCTAAAGCCAGAGCTGTACAGCTGTTATACCGTATGGGGGAAGGGCACGTGGCTACCGGGTCACCTTGCTCCCCAGTTAAAGTTTAGCCCTAATGGACAATTGTTTATTTATTTTTTTTTTACCCTTCACATCTTGAAACCCTTTCTTAAACTTTTAACCAAAATCTCATGCTGGCTCATTTCTTTTCCCAGTGGACACAATTGCTAAACTGTTTTTCCCTCTACCCTTTGTGTCTTTAAAGTTTTCTAAACTTTCTTTTTTTTTTCTTTCTTTTTTTTTTTTTTTTGTCTTTTTCCTTTTTATCGGTAGCAGGGATCGAACTCAGGACTGCCTGCTTGCCAGGCAGGTGCTTATGCCGCTGAGCTAAATCCCCAGCCCCAAGTTTGCTAAACTTTCAACAAAAGTCACCCACTGGCTAATTTCTTGTCCCATAATTGCTGTTCACTTACCAGGGTTCAGCTGCGTGGTAGGCTCCCATGTTGGTCCTGTATTCTCCTTTACTTGTTCTCCTTTAGGCCCCAGAACAGTGTCGCTCACTAAGTCCACTGTTCTTGGGGCCGACATTGGGGGGGCACTTGACCTGGCATGTGGGTAAGTCCACAGAGACACTAGAGGGGGAGGTTAGATGAAAAGGAAACAAGAGTCACAAAGAGTGGAGACAAGTTGAGGAAGTCCAATCAAGTCTCTCTGTATTCAAGGAATGATTATCAAACATATAGGGTATTGAGGAGGAGGGATTTGGATGCTGAGACATCAGCAGGTAACTTAGCAACACTGGCAAGACTGAGGTTTATTGGTCAGTTCAAATTTCCTGCATGTGTGCGGGCTCATAAGCATAATTCCTGAACAGTGGACCAATCTATACAAGTTATGCAAGGTGCTGCTAAATTACCAAACTTAACTCCTAGAGGGAATTAATGTGGTGCAGCCTGCAGGTGTTAGGGTAGCAGCCAATTACAGGGCTTTCCACTGGAACCATGCCTAGAAATTTCCAAATTTGCCCTTAATCTGTAATCTCCCTAGATTTCAGAAAAAGTAGACCTTTTAGACCTCTCCCTCATGAGGTCACTCCTCAAGGGGGAGCAATTATGCTGGGACAGGACCCAATTTTGTCACCTTTCCAAGAAGAAACCTCCATTTCAATATGACAAATGAATTATTTCCTAAAGTGATGAGGCCCTCACAAGCTCTCATGGATCCAATCTTGAGAAAACAACCAATAGGATCATAAATTGACCAGTTATGTCATAGCTGTTAGCTATGCCAAGAAACAAGCAATCACCTTTTTTCACCATTTCTGGAAAACCTTAAAGCTTCTGGAAGCCTCCAAAAGATGGATACTGACTATTGTTATCAGTCCTTTCCAGCATGGTCAAACTCCTTTCTTGCTCTTCACCATTGTTCCTCTCTTTTATTATGTATTATTAATGGAGCTCATGGCTGTCTCTTCAGGTCTCTGGATTTTGTCTCAGAATTCCAGTATCAAGGCCACACTGGTTCAGGGAGCTGACTGTGAGGCCAAAGTCCAAAGAGAATGACAATCTCTGAGCTGGGTTTCAGGATTAAGTGGTACCGTCTAGAGTGCATTTGATACAACAAACTTATAGTCATGAAATGGACTTGGAGTTAAATCTTTCTAATTTCTCAAAACAAAACCCAAAACAGCCACCCTAAAAAAAAAAAAAAAAAACAAAACAAAACACCAAACACAGAGTTTGACCATAGTCAACCTTCACTTCTGTTTCTTCAGGTTTTAACACAGAAAGGGAGAGTGAGGGAAAGAACAGGATAAGGTAGAATTTTTTTTTGAGAAGGTAGATTTTTTTGGAGTAGAAACGCTGGTCTCATTCTCTTGGTTGCCGACCACTGAGGTGGCAAGGAGGGCAAGGAGAGCTGCAGAGAAGCAGGGCTCATGCATCTTGCTGACCTGGACTAGGGGCTTCTTTGCAACTGGAGGATGCTTTGAGACCTGAACTGGAGGCTTCTGTGCTGAGTTGTGGAAAGGTATTTAAGGGGAGGAGAAGGTAGGGGAGGAACTGATACTCCCTTAGAATTGCATGATTTCTCGCAGGCAGATTTCCTGATTTTGGTGCCTGAGGCCAACAGTTTCAGCCATTGTCCTTCTAAAGCAGTATCACTGTGAGCTACATGGGATCTCCCTCATGATGTGGCTAATCTGGGGTGAGCTTCCCCCTTTCCAACCAGTACTTTCACAGGTCCACGGTCCTCTCCTATAAAATTCACCAAAGAAAAGGCTGAGGTAGGAGGATAATATTTTAAAGGCAGCCTTGCATTTTAGTAAGACTCTTTCAAAGTGGAGCACAAAAGACCTGAACAGGATATAAAATCTACATTGAAATATGAACACCTTTGTTGTATACCAATAATAAGCTAGCTGAAAAAGAAATCAGGAAAAAAAATTCCATTCATAATAATTTTAAAAAGTAAAATTCCTAGAAATCAACCTAATCAAGATGGCAAAAGCGATTTAGAGCTGAAAATTACAGATCAATACAGAAAGAAATTGAGGAAGATAGAATAAAATGGAAATCCATATAATTCATGGATTAGCAACATTAATCTTGACTTTTACCCAAAGTAATCAATAAATTTAATGCAATCCCCATCAAAATTTTTCCTTCACAGAACAAGACAAAATAGTCTTAAAATTAATACAGAAATAGTATACCAAATCCTGAACAGCCAAAGTAATTTTTGCTCTAAGCAAAAATGATAAGGCTGTAGTTTGAACAGGCAACAAGCATCAAATTCTTTTATTACCACCTCCGCACCACTTTCATTTGCTCCCCTACAACTTTCCCCACCTCCTTACCCAGCGAGCTGGGACAACTGGCTTCAGTGTCCACCCTGACTGTGTCTAGCAGCCATTCTCCTCTACTCCACTCCAATATAGGTGCAGCTTCACTACTGGGTTGGCAGCCCTCCTCGCTTCCACCACTTCAGAGACTACCATTGCCTTCTGAAGAAAATATGGATTTCCTGTCATCATCAAGAAGGGAGGGATCTGGATGGACCCCCTGTTGACACCACCAAATCCAACAGCCAGCTTTCTACATTTCAGAAATCTGATATCCAATCAAATGGAAGACCCTTTGCATCAAGGAGTTGGAAGACAATTCTTTATTATTATGTTAGCAGAATGGGGAGACCAAGTCCAAATCATCAGCCCCAAGTCAGCTTTAGGTCTAATTTATATGGGATATACAAGCAGGAGGTACAAAGTTGATTTTGGTTATTATATAATTGGTTACAAGAATTAAGTCATAAGTTGTCAGGCAGTTTTGTTTCAGGCAGGTGAGTCAGAGGGGTGCTTTACCATAAGGCAGGAGAAAATAGGGAGGGAGCTGGGGCTGAGGAGGTGGTTGAAAGGAGGCACGTCCTTGATTAGTTATCTCAGTTGCATTGTCTTTGAAAATAGAAAATGTTTATCTGTCAGACAGTATGCACAGTCCAGATGGATGTGGTCAGATTGAGTCAGGTGGAGCTATCTCTAAGTCACAGCTGACATGGTCAGTTCAAGGCCAACTTAGTCAAATGATCTGTGTGGTGGGCTGGGTGAGCATATCTTGTTTTAACAAAGCATCAGAATGTTGATTTTTAACTTTTCTGTCACATTTAGAAGTTTCCCTTGTTTAGCCCTGTTCCCTCTCTGGATCAGCACCATGACAACTGAGACTCATTAAACCCTGTACTGATGATGGGTCTGTATTCTGACAATCACAGGACTGAAGCTGCTACTTCAACAACACTCCACAGGCACTTTTCAGGTTAGTCTAGAAGGGCTCCCTCCACTGTACTGACCCCTCACCTCTAAACCCAGAACTGCAGCACAGACCCTATCAAAGACTGACTTTGGTGGTTGTGTAAATCTGTGTGATTTATTTTTCAGGTAATATGGGCTTCAAAATTCCTATAAATCTGCTCAGGATTCTTAAGCTGAGTATTGTTGCCAGACCAGATAAAACCTGGTCAGAAGATGTAGGTCACTGGGGGTTCAGTCTAGGGGCATACATTTTATTTGTTCCTCCTTTGATCACTCCTTACTTCCTGTCTGCTGTTCCATGAGCACAAACCCTCTGCTCCTATGCCTCTGCAATGCTTCCTTGTTTTGGAGCCAGCTGATTATGGACTCAAACCTTGTTATGGCTTGTGTCTAGATGCCCCTCACCAATACCTCATGAAGTCATAGGTGGAGCTTTTTTAGAAGTGGCTGGATCTAGTGTGGGTTGCTAAGGTTAAACGTGTGTGATTGTTTCACTGATTGGTTTGGAAACACCCTCATCCTGGTAGCCAAGATAGAGAATAAAAGGGACAGAAAGATGTTATCGAGCTCACTGATTGCTTTGCTATCCTCTGTACACCATAAGTGTTTCTCCTCTGTGAGGCCTATCTGCCATAACCCCCTGCATAGGAGCCAACTGCTTAATTACTGAAACCTCTACAATCTCTGAGCTACATAAACTTTTCCCTCTTTACTCTGGGTGTTGAGCATTTTGTCACAGCAACAAGAAAAGTAACTAAGGCAAATATCTATCAACTAAATAAAATAAACCTTTTGTGCTTTAATTTGAGCTATCTGATATTGTATCCGAGACAGGGAAAGAAATTAAGATATTTGATAACTCAGAAGAGGGATTATTGCTGAGATAATCCCTGACCATGTGGTTCAGAAGCCTTTGGGACTGGTTCAAGAGAGGTGTTTTGAAAGGTTTGGAGATGCTGGTTGGAGAAGCAGCCCTAGAATGCTATGAGCCAAAGTCGATGGACACTTTAAATTTGAGCTCAGGACATGAGAATGCTGATAGAAATCTAGATGGAAAAGACCAACCTCAAGAGGTTTCTACTGAGAACAAGGACTCCATTCACATTTGGAACCCAGACCATGTGTGTTGTTCTCTAGCACAAATTTTGTCTTCATTTTGCTTTTGTCCTGATATGCAGTGGAGACTGAGATCAACAACAGCAGCTTACATGCATCATGTACATGTGTCAATGCCACACAGGAAAGTAAACATGATATATCAAAAACACATAGAAAAAGTAAGGAGATCAACAGATGATAGAGAGGGGAGGGAAGGATAGGAAAGGGGATTAAAAAGGAATTAAGATGTATTATTTGTGATGCACTTGTACTAACCCTGTACATGGAATGTAAACCTTACATACTGCCATGTGTAGAAAAGCAATCAAGATATGGGTAGAGGGTGAGGGAAAGTAGGGAAGCAGATGAAAAAAAGGCGTTAAGATGCATTATGTACATGTACCAACTCAGCACAAGGACTGCAATACCATGAACTAGAAAAATGTTCTAAGAAATAAAAATAATCAAGTTTTTTTTACAAAGAGAAATACTGGCCAGCCCAGCTTCCAGCCACACTAGACAGAGCTCTTTAGGTTTCCAGACCTTGCCGGGCCATGCTTGAGAGAACTTTTTTCAAACCTGGGAACTGGAGCTGCTGGAGTTACACAACCCCGCATGACTAAGGAGAGTTTAAGATCATTGCTCCCAGTGATCAAGCATGTGCCCAGCTTCCAGCTATACTACACTAGGCTTGGGAGGTTTTGTAGCCCAATGTGACCATGCACA